CGGTATAGCAACTGGCTACCCTCTGGAAGACTGAGGGATTGGAGTTCGAGTGCCTGTAAAGTAAACATGTAGCAGAGCCAAACTTGGCACTGACCTTAGTATAGTTGTGTTGTGACGGTTTTAATAAAGAAATTGAACGAAAACTTCATTTAGGGCAGTCTTCCGTTCCAGGTTAGGGACAGGTATCTCTTGCATAAGAAGAAAAAGCATTCACCATTAGGTAGGCCGCACACCGGCATGTGTCAAGACATGTAACAGTCAAGACACGATGTCTGCGACATGACGCAAAGAAAGGCGCACAGTTGAAACGAATGAGATTATGAAAACCGCCGCACACCGGACTGAGTCATGATGCTGACGAATCACGAATGAAGCAAGACTACGTCTTTTGTCTGTCTTGATGCTTGTCTTGACGCAGTTGGTGTGCGGCCGCCCTAAGAGTAGGAGTACAAAATCTGAGCGGTTAAGACAGTCACTGAGACAAGACGATCTGCGCTTGCGCACAGTGTGACAGAGCAGTAAGCGAGCTACGACGCATATGACATAGGTCAGCCGCTTAGACCGCTTAGACTTTGTGAGCCAACTCTACCACACGGCGTTTGACGCACAGTACCGTATCGGAAAAAGTCCCACTGTTACGTCAGAATAGATCTATTGATTTTGAGCAGTAACTGAGGCCTGTCATCTAGTCCAGTCTTTGCATAGGAAATTATGAATTCCAGCCCATAGAATATTTAAACCGTTCTCTAAACGTTTTAGTCACGATTCTAAAACGTGAAAACAATGTTTCTGACCTTGTAGTGGCTACTGTGATCTAAATTTTGAATTAGTGTCGATTTTTACAGGCAGCTGGCGTTGGAGATTTGTGCGTTCCATGGTTATTTTATACATAATTAAAGAAATATCTGAATACATACCACCTACCATTCCATATGCTCTCATGCGCGGTGTTTTGGTAGACAAGCAACTTTACAATTTGTTATATTTTTACTTAATAACAATTCTAGAAATGCATTTTTAAGACACTGCACTTGAAAGCAGGCTTTATGAAGGTGCCGATTTTATTAAAAAAGAATTATTTCTTAGCCCTCTCAGAAGTTTCCTGCGGATATTTAAATAAATCCTGATTAAAGCTGTCCAGAACTAGAATTACAATAGGAAATAGTTAAACACTGGTAACTTTGACAATGCTCTGGATCATATCGTGAGAATATTGCCAAGTGAACTTCTAGCAACTCAGTATGGTCTTCTTATCGAGATGCACTACTTTGCCGCTTTTTACCCTTTCCTCTTTTTCAGAAGTTACAGTAAAAAAGAAACGTAAAATTTGTTGGTGGAAGATACACTGTAACTACATATCTTCTGTTGTGATAATTTTTGTCTGAAATTGAAAATTTAATAGAATGGAGAGTTCTCTGTTCTCAGATATAACACCGTGTAGTCCGGTTTCCTTTACTTGCTGCCTGCTACATGCCGGTTCCTTGCTTAGTTTACTCTTTGATCTCGAAACGAAGGACATACATTCGTCTGAAATTTCGTTTGACTTTCACCACACTACTTGGAATTATATTCCAGCAGACAGCACGCTTCATGACCACCACTGGGAAAATCTCAAAGCTTGCATTATGGGGATTGCTTGGGTTATCATTTTCTAGTACAGATCTACGTAGCCCACAATTAAGGTACTGTATGTTTAGCAATCGTGTAAACTTTGAGACAGTGGAAAATACAAAAATATTTCATATACAGGCTTTTTTTTTATTGCTAGTGGGGAGGGACTAAGTCCCTTGTACTGCGGCCACTTCTGGCCTATTGTACCAGCCCCAGATGATAGGTGAGGGTGATTGTGGAGCAATTGGTGGAATGAAGATTGGCAGGGGAAACCAAAGTACTTGGAGAAAACCTGCCCCAGCGCCACTTTGTCCACCACAAATCCAACTTGACTAGACCCAGGATCGAACCCGGGCCGCCGTGATGGGAAGCCAGTGACTAACCGCTTGAACTATGGCGCGGCCCATATACAGGCTTAGTTTTCATGCATGTATATATATTTTTGTATCTTTAACAGATTAAAAAATAAAGCAGGGAAAACTTGTGAGTTTCAGAAAATTTTGTGTGAAAATTGATCAAGTTATATAATCTTCAACATGTGTATGATCCTTGTATTCAATGCATGCAACAGGCACAACTAAGAAGGGGATTTTATAAAAACTGTTAGGAGTCTACGCCAGAAGTTACTAGAAGAATTCAATTTCAGTCACTTTAGTCCAGTAAAACACCTACTTCACATTCACATGCAGATAAACTTGAAATACTGAAAGGCACTGCCAAATAACACATGCAGACACGCGTACACACACACACACATATTTAAAATCTGCATCTTTCTATTAGAAACAATTTTGGTGAAATGTACATTTAAAATCTGTATAGGAAATATTCTGTATCTCTGCACAGAGAACATCTACACGTATATTGTTGTAGCATCTGAGAGCAGTAGTTATGAAGAGTGCTGTCTCCTTGGCTATAATATCATGTAAGCTGTTGAAAGTTGACTGACTTTTGGAGGAACGGTCTTTAACCCTGAAGAGAGCGGCGACATGTTTCACTGAAACATCGCTTGACTTACAACAGACAACATGGCGTTATATCCCAGAAGACAGGATTCTTCATTTCTACTGGTCATTAGCTTCTTCAGGGGTAAATTTGACTGAGTAGAGTATAGTATCTTAATTGTTGCTAGCTATGTCAGCAATAGATAAGTCTCTTCAATGAAAGGATATAATGAATATAAATGTTACAAGGCTGACAAAATTAAGACGATAGATTTCTTATGTAGTTCTTTTTGTATACAACAACTTATATTACATAAATATGAGTACACATTTGATTTCCCAATGGAAATTATGGAATTAAAGAATTCTATTTATAGTGTCACGTATATGAGTGAATGTCAGTCCAGAACCTTTTGTCTTCTTGTCTGCTGTCCAGAAACATAAAAATTAGAATATACAAAACTATAATTTTGCCTGTGGTTCTGTATGGGTGTGAAACTTGGACTCTGACATTAAGGGAGGAACATAAAGTGAGGGTGTCTGAGAACAGGGTGTTGAGGATAATATTTTGATCTAAGAGAGATGAAATCATAGGAGGTTGGAGAAAACTGCATAATGAGGNGCATGATGAGGCGCTTCATAGTAGCTTGTACTCTTCTCCAAATATAATTAGAATGATCAAGTCAAGGAGGATGAGCTGGGCAGGGCATGTAGCATGAATGGGGGAGACAAGGAATGCGTATAGGATCTTGGTGGGGAAACCAGAAGGAAAGAGACCACTGGGAAGACCAAGGCATAAGTGGGTGGACAATATTAAAATGGATCTTAGAGAGATAGGATGGGATGGTATTGACTGGATTGATCTGGCTCAGGATAGGGACCAGTGGAGGGTTCTTGTGAACACGGTAATGAACTTTTGGTTTCCATAAAATGCTGGGAAATTCTTGAGTAACTGCAGAATTGGTGGCTCCTCCAGAAGGGCTCAGCTCCATGAGTAAGTATGAGTGAATGTAGATGGGGTTAATTAACTAACTACTAACTTCACGGAGCTGAGCCTGTCTTGAGAAGCCTCTAATTGTGAAACTACTCAAGATCTTCCCAGCATTTTATGGAACCTGAAGGTTCATTACTGTGTTCACAAGAACCCTCCACTGGTCTCTTATCCTAAGCCAGATCAATCCAGTCCATACCACCCCATCCTATCTCTCTAACATCCATTTTAATATTATCCAACCACATATTGGTCTTCATAGTAGTCTCTTTCCTTCTGGTTTTCTCACATATATCCTATATGCATCCTTCTTCACCCCCATTTGTGCAACATGCCCTGATCATCTCATCCTCCTTGACTTCCTGATTCTAATTATACTTGACAAAGAGTGCAAAGTATGAAGGTCCTCGTTATGCAGTTTTGTCCGAATTCCCACCACTTCATCTCTCTTCGGTTAAAACATTCTCCTCAGCATCCTGTTCTCAAACACCCTTAGACTATATTCCCCCTTTAATGTCAGAGACCAAAGGCAAAATTATAGTTTTGTATATTCTAATTTTTATATTTTTGGACAGCAGACAAGAAGACAAAAGGTTCTGGACTGAATGGTAGCATTACCCAATTCACTCTCCTCTTAATTTCCTCCTGAACTGAATTCTGATTTGTTACTGTTCCCAAATATTTGAACTGTGCCACACTTTGTTGTAAATAGTAGGTGTTATATAAACAAAGGGAAATACTGAAAATCTTATTTGGTGACATACCCTTTTGCTGACAATAAGTATAAATTACTTGCAGTTAATAGATTTTGATAAAATTTTGTATTGAGATGTCTCATTAAACTTATGCCTTACATTACAATGTGTGTCTTTTGAGCATGGCCACGAGTCATGAATCTCTTATGTGGAATTGTTAGAAGCACCTTCTATAATGTCAGGCCTCCTAAGAGAACACATAAACCTATAGCTCATATTCATTACAAATAATCTTGCCCAGATTACAGTTGTACGATACTCTGTTGCTGTTCATTACACATTTCTGACAACTCTGTAAAACGTTAATTAGTTGTTAATATTCTTGGAACATGGTGAACAAAATGTTTGAAATCATTACAAATTTTGTATTCAATTGTGGAATTTCTAATATTTTCAGCAATTTGGATCTCATTATCTTAAAGCACTTTATGAGCTACACTATAAATGAGCTAGTAGATGTTCATATCTCCACTATTTACAGCTTGAAATGTATAATGACTGTAAGAATAAGGAAAAATACATTATAAAACTTTAAAACCACATTACGTTCTGTTCACAAATTACTTTAAAATTTCAGTTGAATTCCTGGAACAATTGTGAGGAAACAGAAATGCAACATAAAGCTTTAAAAACACAGTTATTTATTTCAGTTTACAAAATATATATAAACAAAAAAAAATCTAATGCTAATGCATCACAAAGCTTCAAAAACACAATACATACTTTAATTTACAAAAGAGTTTAAAATCATCTTTAAAAAACCTTTGATCCTTCAAATTAGAAACACCGCAAACTCATCTTTGGTAACAACTTCTGGCTGAGCCTCTGGCAGAAAAACTACGATACAAATCAATTATGATTCAGATGGAACACAAGAAGCACTATATAAAAATTCTGGAACAGTTCTTTCTATATGAAATCAGGAACTGCTTACAGAAATTTACGATTATGAGATGTCTATGTTTCCGTACCTATAGAAAATTTAAATGTAAGGATCATGAAGTAGCATAAGTGACATACAAATTGGGCATTCCATAGTATAAGTAATGAGCAGTATTTTTATAAAATAAGTTTTATGGTACAGGTTGCTTCTTGTATTTCATCATAACTCTATTTCAATATTTCTGTGAAGAATTATCACTGTATATAAACACAAAAGCACTTCCCACAATTTAAAATATACATATTTGTACTTTTAGAGGCACTTGTGGTGTTAATGACTAGAGCAAGGACACATTTGGATAGTGTGTAAAAATGCAAGCAATAGAACAGCGATATCAGATTGATTAGCAGCAAAGATCACATACCATTCACTGGAAAATTTGCAGCATAATAATGAAATATAATTATGAAATGATGTGACTTTCTTGTAAAGATATGTGCTTATTGCAGATCAGCATGATACATTTTTTATAAGTGTTTCTGCTTTAAGAGAGCTTACAAAATTGTTTTTGGTATTGTAACTGAATGTCATGAAGGTATTTGATCTTCAGTATCATTAGGATCATTCATAATGAGCACTATCGATATCAATAAGATGTACTGATGTCCAGACATTCTAATGTATAACCTATCATAAAACAGAGAGAGGTGTAGTACATCAATCAATTTACAACTGTTACGCAGCTTCAAACACACACTTATTAACATAAAATATAAAATTCATAACATCAACATATTAAGTAGTTATCTGCTTTACACTGGCAGATAAACCATTATGGCACTTGTTATCACATCTGAGTTTACCTGAAGATTGATATACATGAGGAATGTTACATAATCTTTATTACCGCACTTTAAAACAAGATTCTCATTCACAGCAAGTTGCAGTGCAGAAGTAAGGAATGAATATCCAAATTATAATGGAATGAATCTGAAATACTGAAATATTTCATCAGATAATTAGCAAAATATTATGTCACTATCTCAATTCTGTCGTTTCTTCAAATGGACAGCAGCATTCTTGTTTGTATATCATTTAAGCCTGGACAGATAAAAAAAAAAAACAAAAAAACAAAAAAACAAAAAAACTTGTATTTCAGTTGTATTTACTAATTAGAAAGTGACTAGACAGGAGTATTCATTTCAAAAACTTGTGATGACCCACTAGTGTTCTCTTGTTCCAGAATTCCATTGTTATTCACTTCAGTCCTCTGTTGTCCTCTGCTTGCAGGATGACAACGTTGCAGGTCTGTGAGTCGTATGATCTGATTCATTCCCTGCCATCTCCTCATCACCATCCAGTGGAACCTAAGTCAAAAGTACCAAGCAATGTGTATATTCAAACTGAAACATTTCCTAACCTGTTCTTGTATTCCATACTAGATGAATGCTTTCTGATTAGGTTATTCTCCTGTACTATAATCTTTGATACTTGATGGGTTGTTAATGTGACAAAACTTTCAAGTCTCTGTCTTAAGATTCTTCCCACATATTTAAATAATCTATAAGTAATTACATTTTGTATGGTATTCTTCTTCTTCCTTGATTTCATCAGGACTTCTTCCTGTAAATTTCACCAATTGCTTTATGATTTGTTATCCAGTCATCATAAAAAGATTATACAACCGGTTATACTTCTAACTTCATACACTCATCNTATTTTCAATTCGCTGCCTTTCTTTTAAGGTCTACACTTGTGCCTGTTGTATCATTTAAATTAACATATTTAAACATTTCAATACCATGTATGTCATACTCAAATTACACATCAATAAATCTCCATTTGCATGAAAATTGCTGTCTTCTGGGATGAGATGGTATGTAGTCTTGTAGGCATTCTGAAGATAGAGGCAGCTTCTCCAAAATGCTGAAACCTTATTTCCATTCTACTTGGCACCACAGCCCAGATGTAACCTTCATATTCACTGCCGTGAGAACCTCAAATGTCACAAAATTCCACACTCCTGCCTCCAGTTATTCCTCTGTTATCATCTCTGAACCAAACATTAAACACAAATTTCGCATGTCAATATGTCATTCTTTCATAATCGACAAAAAATTACCCTAACTTTCAGAAGTCAAAAACATATTATGACAAAAAATTTCCAGACCCACACTGACAGGCGCTAGAGTTACTATGACATCAGAAGTTCATAGGAACATTGCTGGTGGTACTGATTGCAAGAATTAAAAGGTAATAATGTAGTGCTGTCTAGTTACATGATGTTCGTACTAAGTTTTATAGCGATCTGTCAACTGTTTCGAAAGTTATTCTAAAACAGAGATTCTTCACAAAATAAGGAAAGATGTCTGGCATGAAATTTAGTATATAATCACAGTGAAAATCCATGTCAAATATGATTTGTTATCCAGTCATCATAAAAAGATTATACAACCGGTTATACTTCTAACTTCATACACTCATCAGTCTATGCACGTCTCTTTGCATGTCCTTCTGTCTTCCCTTAACATATGTGATACTTTATGCTTTTACCCAAGAAAAATTTCAGTCATGTGTCAAATCAGGTTTTGAAGGCAGTGCACGAGGCCATATAAGTAAGCAGAGAGTACAAAACTATCAAATTATATTGCATCATATCCCATAAGACTGTAATCTTTTAACTTCAATATATTTACAGAGGTGGATGCATCTTCACTGTACAGTATTTTAAAATGTATGTTGTAATGCTCCCTCAACAGGCAGCACCATAGCCCAGCTGTTAGCTGCTGGCTTCCATTGCAGTGCCCCAGGTTTGGTCATGTAGGATTTGTGGTGAACAAAGTGGCACTGGAGCAGGTTTTCTCTGTGTACTTCAGTTTTCCTTGCCAATCTTCATTCCAGCAATTGCTCCACAGTCACCATCATCTATCATCTGGGGCTGATACAAGAGGCCAGTAGTGGCCGCAGTACCAACTGCACTCACTCTC